CAATCATCTACAGCCATTACTAACCCAGTGGGTTTTTTTAGGGTTTTTTTGTTTTTAATCTATAATTGTTGTTTTCAGATTCCATAGATATACAAATTTTTCGTATTTTCTACCACCTGGCTGCAGAGAAGCACATCTGTATACTTACCTGTGTGTTATCGATCGATAGAGATGTTAGCTACTTACCAGGGTCCGTATTCATGAAACTGTTCTCATGCTCAAGCATGTTTTTTTTTGTGCTCAAGCCGAATTTCTTGTTCCCGTTATAAATCAATAACAAAATCTGATTTTGTCAAAGATTTGCAAAAACATTAAAGATATTTAAACCCGAAATCTGTATCCAATGTTTACATTTGACCTTTTGATCGTTTGGCATCATTTCAGCACAGAATCCATGCTTGAGCATGAGAGCGGGTTCATAAACACAGGCCCAGAATACCTTTGAATAGCTAATAGAATAAAGGATAATAAGACGGTGAAAAAAATACTGACACGTTCAATTGAAGACATACCTTTATTGACGTGTTAATATCATGTGTGGTATTCCTGCTCGAAATAAAATTTCACTAAGGTGATAATTCAATAGCTTATGGAAATAAAAAATGGGGCGTTATAAATAATATAAGTAACGCGGATGTTACAACGATGTATTCTGGCAATTGTTTTTTGCTCCAAGCGACAAAATGAAGCATTACATGATATGACAAGATCCCAAATACCTCAAAGTACCCGAAGTTTAACATGAGATTACGTGATAAATTACGAAGAATAGTACGAATTTCGATGACAAAGACAAATCAAATTGATTGAAAACGTATTTTTTTGTCAATATCACCATTACTGATGACAATAATGCTGATGTTCCTATTTCGGAGCCGAAACCGAGTTCTTTCGACACTACCAGGATAAACTTAAATGAAATCCAAATGAAAGTACGCTTGGAAATTATTCGATGAGGTCGAATTGCCGAATTGTCGTCAACCGCCATATGCATATATAAGAACACTGAAGATATTATATGTAAACCTCTAGACTTATTTTCAACTTCTGATCTACTTGTCTACATCCTGATTTTAGAGGAGCAGCAAAGGGCAGGCCTATTTTTCAACAAGGCGATAGGCTCACTTTGTCAGAGTATCAACCAGTTTCGTTTTTGTTGACATATTAAAAAATACTTAAAAAGGGCTATTTTTATGCACCTGCAACACCCATGATCATTCTACAATTCATCACTTAACGGAATTTTATCACCCATCATTGGATGTCGATTGATATATATTTTGACACTTTTGTTTGACCAAATTCAACAAAATATTTTAAATATATAATAGTTTACAATATATCAATTTGACGTCAATCCTTCTTTCCGATTTCCAATTGCCTCTTTGTGTTAATGAAATGTTTATAAGATATTGTTTAATAAGTTATTTTAAATCATTTTACCAATCCTTTGTACAGTATGTCTAAACCTAAAAGGCACAAGTTTTAAGAAACAGACATCTCATTGAGTTTACTATTTGCATGCATTATTATAGTATAAGACGCTTATAATGTTCATCCCATACTTTAGATTTACCGGTGAAAGTAATTATATAATCTGTGATGGAGGAAATGAATAAACTAGACGCTTTGTGTCGGAACACAGCCCTTATGTAAATGTTACATGTCAGTCATATCAAGTTCTATGTGGAAACACATTCATCTGTCCGTCCTCTTGTCACTTCGGAAGAGCGTTGAGGTCAATTTGGAGTGTGGAGTCTACTCCATATCTGCTGTGTTAATTGCGTGGTTAATGCGGCAGGGGTTAGATCGAGGTCAAGGTCGAGTGTTGTAGGCTTGGAACTGATCCCAAAAATAGACGACTTTGCAGATAACTTTGAAGTTCACATTGCTCGCCTTATATATGGTAAATTATTACACCTCATCTTGATAAAAACCTGTCTAATTGGATGATACTTGTCACATGACGGGTTACTTAACCATCATGTTGCCAACACGCGCTCAAGTTTCCCCGATCATATTTTCATTATTCGGAGCCTCTCAAGAAAAATCTGCATGAGCCGCTTCAACCCATAGTTCCGAATGCCGGAAGCAGACGACAACAATGGCGCGTCAATCTGATCATATCTACTATTGCGCTAAATTTTGATGTTTTTTTATTTTATATATTCGGCATAATAAAATGAGCATTGCCCTTGCAATAGGTTATACCTGTATAATGTATACATGCACACAATGTTCATTTAATGCGTTATTTACAGCTCATGATACGTAGCATAGCAGAATCAAACAAAATGTACACTAAAACTAGTCACATGCTGTAAAAGTATTCATGAACATGTTGATTTGATTATACATTTTGTGAAGACAGACTGCGTACCAACAACAGGTATATAGTTCAACATAATTGAGAACGCTTCCCTGTTATTCCAGGAAAAAATACCAATATGTGAAAACCCAGATAATGATTACCACGACTCACGTTTAATGATTACCATGAATTACGTTTAATGAATACCGCGAATAACGTTTAATAATTATCGCGAATTACGTTTAATAATTACTGCGAATTACGTTTAATGATTTCCGCGAATTACGTTTAATGATTACCGCGAATTACGTTTAATGATTACCACGAATTACGTTTAATGATTACCGCGAATTATGGTTAATGATTACCGCGAATTACGTTTTATGATTACAGCGAATTACTTTTAATGAATTACGTTTAATGATTACCACGAATTACGTTTAATGATAACCACGAATTACATCATGAATTACGTTTAATAGTTACCACGAATCACGTGTAATGATTACCGCGAATTACGTTTAATGATTACCGCGAATTACGTTTAATGAGTTACGTTTAATGATTACCGCGAATTACGTTTAATGAATACCGCGAATAACGTGTAATGAACCGTCCTCATAGGACCCTGGATGTTACACTATTACAGTTTTCGCGACAATAGGAAGAGAAAAAACTCTCTGAAAAAATGGAAACATTACCAATAAAGGTATAAAACCAGCAATTACATGCTATATCGTAACATCACTTTCAGTGCTTTGGGAACTGTGGACTATACATGTAACACCGGAAACTGGTATAGAGAAAAAAATCAACAGGACGCTGCTAGACGAATGTAATGATCCGATAAGCACTAACCAAAATCAGTTTCGATAGCATCTACTGGAAAACAACATTAGACCATGTGAACGGCTCATGGAATATGTGTTACAAAGACTCATTTCAATGTAGCTAGTGTTCTTCCCGGGTCCTTTGAGGCCTAAATGGCAATGAATGCATGTTTAATTGATTTAGGAAGTGTTTATGTCTACTTATTAAATATTAATTTTAGTTTTATCTTTTTAACTTAGATTTGCATATACACACACATGAGTGTCTTAATTGCACAATACCAGTAATGAATATGCTATTAAATTTACACGATAAGGAATGATTTGTTCAAAAATGATATTAACTATTGTTATCCCTTTTCCTTTTCCATTCCTTTACCATTTCTTTGTTCTCTATTCTTCATCAACCTCTCCGTCCCTCTAAATCCCTAGAGAGGCGGAATATATTCATTACTTTTTTTTTAACGTTAATGAAACTGATTTTCCGTGATTTGTAACTGTAGATACAAATGTATTACTCCAAGGTGACAGATTACGCAAGTTTCAGTTGTTTTAACTCAGTTTTGTTCTTATTGATTGTCTTAAAGATGTATTACGAAATAATGAATGTTCGTGGGGTTCAAATTTCGTGGTTTCCCGACAAAACAGAATTCCCTGGGTAGATGGATTCTGGGATTACGATTACGGAGAACTGCTTAATGTCTGACTTGTAATTATTTTGTGGACCTATGGGCTCGTGTATGGAAATTACCCAAGAAATCAACGAAATTAAAAACAAACACGAAAAATATTCATTTCCCAGTATTCAGAATAAAGAAACGGTTATTCTTGAACTACCTTTGAAATATTGATAATATGTCTATGCATTTTGTAAGTGAATACATTGTATCACAAAATATTTGAAAAAATGAGACAAAATCTGAAATACAATAATCAACAATGTAGATGTTCAGGGGATTTTTTTTTAGAGAAAATATATATAACACTGACCGCGAATGGATTTAATATCCAACGGTATTAAATACAACTGTGTATAACACATGTGCGTTGTAGTTTAGAATAAAGTAAAACAAAAATATAAACATCGACACTTGGACATTTAACGGCGTCATTAGTGAAAGCAACTATAAACACATTTAACATATCGTCTGCCTTCTTGTAATATCTAGGCAAAGGCGGTAACAAATAGTATCTTACTAATAAGCAGTAATCGGCAATGAGCCTCACCGGGCGACTTTACGACATGATGGACTCCTGGAACAAGAGATGTCAAAAGACGACACCCTGAGGACCTCCAGAGTCTACCATACCAGCTGATAACTTTTCTACTTCAACAAGCAGTCTGCGTCTGGACTGTAGTAGTTACCTTTTCGAAAGTTTTGGAGACACCATTAGTTAGTTCATGCACCGTTTAGATTATTTGTAGTTGGCCCAATATATATCAAGCGTCTCAAGATCCAGTTTTTCTAACAGTAAGATATATTTGAAATTTTGTAAACTTTAATGATTTTAAGGTAAATGGGGATGGCACGAACGCCGTACTTTGCTAGGACAGAGTGGCGGTTCGAAGTGTCTCATGATGCTACCGATACCATCACTGCATCCAAAACGGGACATCCGTGGGAAAACGGCCCACGAAACAGTCATGCAATGAAAAGAAGTAGTTTTATTTTTATGCATGCAATTTTCACTTGCTCATACTGTTTTGTCAATTAACTGTATATAACTAGCTTTAACGGCTGCTGTTTTGGTTAAACAGACAGCTTAGATGTAAGAATAATTACGTAAACAAAACTTCATTATTTAGATATCATTTTTAGAAGCCTATTTTTATCAAAACTAATCATAGTTGACTCTGAATTATATGAAATGTGTGTTATTTTCTGCTGATATTGTTTATCACCAAATGTTAGTCAAAAGACCATTTCTGGGTACAGTTACACCTGTTCAAGGGCCTACATGACCCTGATAGAATTTAGCGTTCTATTTATAGAATCACGTGTCGTAAAATGAAAAGCGAACAAACATTTTGGAATTGATTCATCGTAAAAATGTCCCGTTTTTGGGTACAGTGACAGTTCAGAGTATGACGTAAACATAGCCATACATTAAATGTCCTTTATCACGAAAAATGTAAACAGACTATATATCGTCCCCATGTACCATTTTAATAACAAAAGTACAAGTTCAACTTGCCAAAACTACACATCTGAGTTCCAATGCTTAATTAGGGTCTTTAGATATGACTTACCATTGGGTTGAAATTTAGCGCGGTTGTTAAACCTTTACAACGATGACAAGTTTTGGAACTTCTTTTTACAACATGACTTGACACTTGTCCGTTGATTGACATCGTTGTACTACAAATTCCGATTTAAGGCCGCGTAGGAAATTGGTTGAGGTGGTACGTTTGTTATCAATTATTCAAAAAACACGTACCATTTACAGTCCATACACACATTTTATTCAATATACTTTAAATGTTTTGATATTGTTCGATTTTAACCATTTCTGAGGGTTCGTAAAGCTGACCACCTGTAATAAGTTAACATCCATTTTAGAATTACATATCGCGGAAGAATTCTAAATTGAGCAGATGTGGTAGAAATGCCCCGTCTCGAAGTGATGCGGGTCATATAGTGTTACCCTTGTCCGTACTGTACGTGCAGAAGCCGGTTGAGTATGCAGAAGCCAGTTGAGTATGCAGAAGCCGGTTGAATAGTTTCGTTTAGAAGAATTATGAACGGAGTACTGACGCTAGTCCCACTAAAGTTAACGTGCTTATGAACAATTATGAGTAGAACAAGTTGTATGGCATTGTCGTGACCTCGACCCTTGACCTTGACCTCTGAAACTTTGGTTACATTTTTTGCGTTAAGGTCAATTATGGACTCTACAACACGTAGGATCACGCAACCACATATCTTGACCTCTCTGTGACTTTGCATTTTGGTCAGTTATGGACTTGGTGCTGCAGTTGTTTTCACTCCACTTCACATGTTTAAGTGCCTTAATGGACAGAACATGTTACACGATATTCTTGTGACTTTGAACTCTTTGGAGACAGCATGTTTCATGACCTTTTGTTACCTTCACCTTTGAACTTAGTCTCTTTGACCTTGCTTTTGTTTATAAGTGTATGAGCAGGACATCCCTGGTTTAGAGAAAATAAATCTATTTAATAAGCAAAAACAAAACAAACAAAAAACAAAACTAGTTTTGGGTAGAAAAATGTCGAAATTTAAAAATGAGGACAAACTTCATAACAAGACACGCTAACGTAAAACTAGTATCAGTTAATAAAATCAGAATACAAAATATACATGTCCTCGATTTTAAAGATCACCCTCAAACATTATGTATTCACAAGTACTGATGTTAAAAAGAAAATAAGACGTATTTAACATTATGCTTACCCAGATAAATACAACTGGGCTAATATGCATCCCAACTCTGTGCTAATGAACACGGATACTGACAGGCCCTGTGCTAAAGGTCACAGGTCCGTCAGGCCGCTGTACCTTTGATCACAATTTAGAAGGTCCTTATGCTAATTGCCATTGATAATGACTAAGCCCTGTGCAAATGAATACATATAGTAACTGGGTCCTGTGCTAGTCTGTAAATTCTCAATAGAGCTTGTCTACTTCGGTTTACATCGGTATTAAAACCCCGTTTGTTCAGATTTCAACATCCGCAACATTCCTAATAAGGACTATTTTTGTTAAGCTACATTTACGGAAAAATAAAACTGAAGATAATCACACATGATGCACCTAAATAATGTGGTAATAGATACGGTATGCCACAAATAAAGTGCAAATGAACCACATAAGAAAAACATGATAATCATTAAAAGACAAGCTTCATTAAAAATAACGGTACAAAGGACTGAGAGGATGGCTAAAGTTTCTAGGTATTATAACATTAAGTTATGCACAAGTGATTACCTTGGTAAGGATTGCTTAAATCCAAACAATTTCTTTGACTGGCTATGTTCTGTCGATAGACACTATATTCCGTAAAACGTCATAGCTAACAAAATATCTCCTTTACTTTGTGTCTGAACTTAGTATCAAAACAGGTGTAAATGATTGGATTGACAACATGATTTAAAAGATACATCTGGAACACGAATAGGTACACTTGTCTCTCCGTATCGGAAAATTCTGTCCAGAACTCCACGGAGTCCACATCGACGGCCAGATTGGTGGCGAGGGCAGGAACATAGGTAAGCACACAGAGTAGAGAGATTATCAGGAACATGATCGAATACCTGTGTACAGAAAATGGCGTCTTTTTGGAGCGAACGGAAGCGCTTGTAGATCTACGACGATTTACATCCCGAATGTTGATGTTCTTGGACGATTTACGCCTCGTAGATAAATCTGGTTCATGGTCCGACTTCACACCTGTGTCATGAGTTGAATTGGTGTCAAAAGAAGCGTGCGTTGCAGGCATTTCTCCGATACGTTTAATGTGCATGTAGATCTTTTTACCTGTTGCGACATAGAAACTGCATATTCCGATCATGGTCAATACAGCGCTTGCAAACATAAAATACAAGTAGAATTTTCCATAGAAATCAAGCGTTTCACTTTGTCCGTGAATAAGCCCACACCGTCTTCCTGTTATGCCTTTGTCTTTAAACGGAACTTCGGTGATGCCGTAAAATATAAATAGAGGTGTATGGATGACGATTGTAACACAGATTGTCCCTATCAGAGCCATTACTTTGTATTTTTTCGTCATCTGTCTTCCAAATGGTCGGCACACCTTCAGGAATCGCTGAAGCCCGATCACGAGAATTAACAGACCGGACGCTCCATTCATGTTGCGCGTGAAAAACCATGACATCTTACAGATGAGGTCCATATCCATGTAAATTGGGAACACGTTGCGCACAATGCAGAAAGAGGGACCTGTGACGCAAACGATGATGTCCATGATAGCAAGAACGAGGATGAAAAATTTATCATCTAACTTTACCCGTAGACGGAAGCTGTATATGTAAATAACAATGGCGTTTCCTAAAACTCCAAACACGAAATAGAACCCGAGAATAATATCAATCACAATGAGGGAGAGAGCAAATTGCGAGTTCAGGTTCGCGAGCCTTAGCTCGTGGCTGGCAGTATTGTTGTACACTGTGGCATACATTCTCGTTATTTGGAGGTAACACCGCTTATGTATCGCAGCTAAATATTTGTTGTAAACATAATGCCTCGTATGACGAAAAAAATGACTATTTCCATTCTATCATTACTGACCCTCCGTTAATAGTTGTTGTTAATAGTTTCCACAAGCTATACTGTTATTGAAGAGTGTAAACAAGCAATATTGTCGTTTAAATATCCCTGTAATCTCTTATGTTGTAGAAGCAATCATCGACAAGTTTCATATGAAATAATATTGAAATCATGCTCATAAATGAGGACGGAAACGTTAATGACTTTATCACGAGCTCTTTAACCGGAAGTAGAATGTTCGAAGAGTGACGTCACTGGAAGTTGATGTAAGTTATCTCCATTACGTTCCACGTAACTTCGGATCAAAGTCTATCAAAGAACACAGATACACCAGCAATCACGTATGGACAAAATCTGACACAGTCCTGCTCAATAATTGATCAAGGAGTCTGTGTTGTTGAATGATCACAAACTTAATTCCAAACATTCAACCAATGAACACCACGGTTGCGTATGATTACACATCCATTAGGACCGAGCTGCGCGGCACAAATACTTCTATCGAATACTTATACATATTCAAATTATCATTTCTCAATTTCATCAACAAATAAGTATATGCATATTGTATATATAAATTACAGCCGGTGACGTTACTTCCGGAAAGTCAGAAAGGTCCGGAAATCATCTGTATCAACATGTATCTGTCGTATTAGAGACACCATACATAACAAATACCGGAAGTACGTCTTGGTGTAGAGGTCAATTGTTTAGTTCAGTTTAGACGCTGTTCTTCATTAAGACGTATAGAAATGCGTCAGTGATGTAATTAAATACTGAAGAGGTGGGATTTTAATGATACCGGAAATCTGTTCAGTATCCGTTTGCTAAGTAGGCATTTGACAAGCTAAATCAGGGCTGATTTGATACTGACCACTGGATTGCTACTCTCGGCCTATTGATCAAGATGTTTCCATTAAATTGCTAGTTGATAGTTGAGTTATTAAAATATAAGTACAAAAAAACATGTTTAATCTCTGTTGTAAAATGAAGATATTTTAAAAATAATAATAAAAAATGTTCGTCTGAATCAGACATAAATATGTCTATGACGTGTCGTACTAACTGTCCACAAATCAACCATCCGGCCGTCTGGATATTGAGTCATTAAATCTATATAAAAAAATAAACATATCCGTGCAAAACACTGCCGACAGGAAATGTTAGCCGGGACAACTAGACTTTTGTACCAATTAACGTTCTATTATCTCAGTTGTACGGTGTATAGTTGTGTTCTTTCAATGTCAATACTGAATTCCAACAATAACGGAATCTTGGTATGGTGTGTTGTTGTGTAGACAATGTTTGGACTAAGCTCCAACATTACCAGAATCTTGGTATGGTGTGTTGTTGTGTAGTTAATGTTTAGACTAAGTTCCAACATTACCAGAATCTTGGTATGGTGTGTTGTTGTGTAGATAATGTTTAGACTAAGTTCCAACATAACCAGAATATTGGTATGGTGTGTTGTTGTGAAGACAATGTTCAGACTAAGTTCCAACAATACCAGAATCTTAGTGTGGTGTGTTGTTGTGTAGACAATGTTTAGACTAAGTTCCAACATTACCAGAATCTTGGTATGGTGTGTTGTTGTGTAGTCAATGTTTAGTTTAGGTTCCAACATTACCAGAATACTAGTGTGGTGTGTTGTTGTGTAGACAATGTTTAGACTAAGTTCCAACATTACCAGAATCTTGGTATGGTGTGTTGTTGTGTAGTTAATGTTTAGACTAGGTTCCAACATTACCAGAATATAAGTGTAGTGTGTTGTTGTGTAGTCAATGTTTAGACTAGGTTCCAACATTACCAGAATCCTAGTGTGGTGTGTTGTTGTGTAGACAATGTTTAGCCTAAGTTCCAACATTACCAGAATTTTGGTATGGTGTGTTGTTGTGTAGTTAATGTTCAGACTAAGTTCCAACATTACCAGAATCTTGGTATGGTGTGTTGTTGTGTAGCTAATGTTCTGACTAAGTTCCAACATTACCAGAATCTTGGTATGGTGTGTTGTTGTGTAGTCAATGTTTAGAATAGGTTCCAACATTACCAGAATCTTAGTGTAGTGTGTTGTTGTGTAGTCAATGTTTAGACTAGGTTCCAACATTACCAGAATCTTAGTGTGGTGTGTTGTTGTGTAGACAATGTTTAGACTATGTTCCAACATTACCGGAATCTTGGCATCCTGTGTTGTTGTGTAGTCAATGTTTAGACTAAGTTCCAGCATAACCGGAATCCTAGTGTGAGGTTTTGTTGTGTAGCCAATGTTTAGACTAAGTTCCAGCATAACCGGAATCCTAGGGTGATGTTTTGTTGTGTAGCCAATGTTTAGACTAAGTTCCAGCATAACCGGAATCCTAGTGTTATGTTTTGTTGTGTAATCAATGTTTAGACTAAGTTCCAACATTTCCGGAGTCGTAGTATGGTAAAAAAAAAAAAAAAAAATTGTGTAGACAATGATCAAACTAAGGCGATGTCACCATTTGGTTTTTACCATGTATGTTCATAAAGAACCTTGGAAAGTTAAGTGCATGAGCAATACCTAAGATGCTGAGTTGTGTTCCCATTTACTAGGCAACATTTATAAACGAAAGAAATATGTTTTTTTTATAATTTCCTTTTAACAAAAAACATCTCTGCCACGAAAATTCAATCATAGGGCCTCGAAGAGAAAACAATTGTCCATTGCGTTACCGATCATTATATAATATACATGTAAAGTTTCATGTAATGTAATACCTTTATGATTTTTTTTGGAGAAAAAGTCCAATTACCTAAATGGCCTCGGAACCTATCAATATTTCTGTGTAAAGGGAAATAGCATGAAAACAGATATAGGGCTGTCTACCTTCAACTTGCTCGTCATTGTCTGTGCTCTCTTGTCTATTTCGTGTTATGAATTTAAGCGTGGTAATATTTCAAGTTCACTCATCAACAGACAACGTCGTCAAGTGACTCTTCACTGATGGGGAGATTTACGATCAAACCCGTCCCGGCGTCAACCAGTTTTGATTAAAAATAGAACCTGCCTACACACTGCAAGTTTGTTTCAACATGTTAATAAACAGCAAGCTACCCACTTGTCAATCTACTAGTATATGTCTTTTTCACAATGTTGTACTTCGTTGTGAAATCGGGATACGTACCTACTTCAAAGGTGAATGCATCTACCAGCAGGTGGTAATGTAACAAAATAGGCCTGTGTTCCGTGTGTTATGTAGAAACAAACTTTTAAGTTTCATATGTGGACGTGAGCATGGCTTGTTGACGCCGCGACTCAAAGCAAGCCAAGTGCAATCACAAAAATAATAAATAAGTGTGCGCATGCGTGAGGGGAAGAGGAATACGTCAAACCTCAATGGCATCAAACAAGAGCAATTGTAAATAGAAATTTTGTGTTATTAACTCTGAATATAGTGTTAAGTCGGATGACGCAGTGGATAAGGAGGCAGGGGTTCGATTCCTCGATCGGACGGTCATGATCACCTGCCCGACCAACGTGGGTTTTCTCCAGGTACCCCGGTTTTCTTCAACATTAAGACCATCTCGCGCTAACATCCAGACCAACAAGAGTGATTAATGTAAGCTGAAATGACTTGTTAAATAGTAAGTCTACTATAAAGTGATGAAGTCTTAGGAGCAAGGGCTTAAAATTGAAACCACATACTTATTTTCAGAATGAGATTATATCACTTTTCCCCTCTTAAAAACATCTTGATATACAATGGAGGGCGTAGCATGTCATTGCTCCAACTTCCTTGTGATGTCAAAATAGCTGCTGATTAAGCATTATCGCTCTTGTACAGTCTCCCTAACCTTCGCCCTTGCGGCTTATCTGAATACGTTAATCGAGGTCAAGGGATTTGGGAGAGTTACATCGTTTCGTATGTCCTACTAATCTATTTTTGCTATGACTTGTTAGTTTTCTGGTCATGCAAGTTTGTTTATGATTCATTCAAGCATATCTGATTGATCAAAATACAACAAAGGGATTGAGCACACGTTCTAACAACTTACTAGGCCCTCTCCCGACAATACAACACACAGTAACTAAAGATATAACACGTGATGACAAAAGTTCAACATATAAATACTGACAATCTACGACTTGAAATAAAAAAAGCATGAAGAAAGGAAAGGAGTGAGGGAAAAGGTGAAATGTTCGATTCTGGTTGCAATAGTTGCCCACTAATTGGTTTCAAACCTCTTCGTTGATTTTAGAATAATTGTAAACCAATTGCAAGTATAATACACGCGGTGCTGCTAACGTACGTTAGTAATAACGTAGTATGCTGTTAGCGTACGGTAGTAATAACGTAGTATGCTGTTAACGCAAGGTAGTAATAAGTTCCAACATTACCAGAATATCTTGGTATGGTGTGTTGCTGTGTAGTAAATGTTTAGACTAAGTTCCAACATTTCCGGAGTCGTAGTATGGTATTTTTTTTTTTTTTGTGTGTGTAGACAATGATCAAACTAAGGCGATGTCACCATTTGGTTTTTACCATGTATGTTCATAAAGAACCTTGGAAAGTTAAGTGCATGAGCAATACCTAAGATGCTGAGTTGTGTTCCCATTTACTAGGCAACATTTATAAACGAAAGAAATATGTTTTTTTTATAATTTCCTTTTAACAAAAAACATCTCTGCCACGAAAATTCAATCATAGGGCCTCGAAGAGAAAACAATTGTCCATTGCGTTACCGATCATTATATAATATACATGTAAAGTTTCATGTAATGTAATACCTTTATGATTTTTTTTGGAGAAAAAGTCCAATTACCTAAATGGCCTCGGAACCTATCAATATTTCTGTGTAAAGGGAAATAGCATGAAAACAGATATAGGGCTGTCTACCTTCAACTTGCTCGTCATTGTCTGTGCTCTCTTGTCTATTTCGTGTTATGAATTTAAGCGTGGTAATATTTCAAGTTCTCTCATCAACAGACAACGTCGTCAAGTGACTCTTCACTGATGGGGAGATTTACGATCAAACCCGTCCCGGCGTCAACCAGTTTTGATTAAAAATAGAACCTGCCTACACACTGCAAGTTTGTTTCAACATGTTAATAAACAGCAAGCTACCCACTTGTCAATCTACTAGTATATGTCTTTTTCACAATGTTGTACTTCGTTGTGAAATCGGGATACGTACCTACTTCAAAGGTGAATGCATCTACCAGCAGGTGGTAATGTAACAAAATAGGCCTGTGTTCCGTGTGTTATGTAGAAACAAACTTTTAAGTTTCATATGTGGACGTGAGCATGGCTTGTTGACGCCGCGACTCAAAGCAAGCCAAGTGCAATCACAAAAATAATAAATAAGTGTGCGCATGCGTGAGGGGAAGAGGAATACGTCAAACCTCAATGGCATCAAACAAGAGCAATTGTAAATAGAAATTTTGTGTTATTAACTCTGAATATAGTGTTAAGTCGGATGACGCAGTGGATAAGGAGGCAGGGGTTCGATTCCTCGATCGGACGGTCATGATCACCTGCCCGACCAACGTGGGTTTTCTCCAGGTACCCCGGTTTTCTTC